TCAAGTTATGGCTGTTAAATGTGTTTCTACAAGCTAATGAATTGTGAATATTTGTTTTTCACTGCTTCTTCATTTCGTTTAGCGTTTGTTGCTGTAAATGATGAATTTTCTTTCAGCAAAACTATGCTGCGTCATGAAGTTTTCATTAATGACCTGTGATCCTTTCCTTAGCGCCAGACTGTCAGACACCGGTGTTTAATGAAACACAAAGCACCCTGTACCACCAGCCCTGGGAGATGGGACGTATTTTAACCCAACCTGCAATATTTTCAAAACCTGAATCAAGTAAATGAGAAGGAAATAAATAGTAACTGGAATTTTAGAGTTCACCCCTTCATGCTATCCAGACAGGGGGAGTTTCTGCTGACTTTTATAAAAGGTTGACATGAAGATAGAAAAAAACAAACCCTTTGTAGAAAACACTGATATGCAGCCCTGTGACCTCATACAGATGTATGACTATTATGTAGTATCATGTATATGTTATTGGGTTATTATCATTGATTCATTCATTTGTCTATCGCTTTATTGTTTCGGCTGGATGTTATTTTAAATACGTTGTAATGTGTGCTAGCTTTATATCTTTAGCATACACTGTAATATATCAGCACATGCCCAGGAGACACGGTCAGTTGGCTGTACCAACTCCTGTGGCTTCTTTCAGTGTGGAGGAGTAGAAGCTTTACTCTGCGCCCCTTTCAAATGACCAAGATCGTCTCTCTGTTGTTGTGCTGAGCCCAGGATTCTTCAGAGGAAACTTGTATCCATGATGTCATTTTGGTCATAACCTACAGCTTTGATCATAAGTAAGGAAAGGAATGTAGAATGACCTGAAATTCATCAACCTCAGTTTTCACACATAGCTCTCTCTTCACCACAGCAAACTGGTATAGAGTTGCACTGGTCCACCAGTCAGTTTCCTGTTCCACTCTCTGGTCATTCATGAACAAGACTCTGAAATACTTAAACTCCTCAGCTTGGGGCAGCAGCTATTTTTTTTTTTTTAAATGTTCATTCAATTGTTTAAATGCTATATATATTTGGGGCTACAACTTTACTTGATCTGCTATTTTTGTTTTTCTATCCCTGAAGGTACTGGAGTTATTTTATCAGAGGGAGATGATCCACCTTTTGATGATGAAGATTATAGTTTTTTTTTAACTTATGGCGAAATAAATTCAACCTTAATAATAAATGACACTGAAGTGCCTCTTTCTCTACTGCCAGGTAATATCTGTCTCCTCTATGTCTATAGTTCTAATTTGTAAATATCTTTACATGATGCTGACTCCAAACATACTGTACTTCTGACATGGTGAAATAGACTGCTTAACAAATTTATTAGACCATAAGTTTATGAACAGTATTTGTAATTACCAAAATAGTTGTATCTGTTTCTGCAGTGGTAAATCCATCACTTTGTGGATTATATTTTGATGGCAAAATCAAATCAGGTC